CAAAAAAATAGAAAATTTAAAGCAGTGTTTTATATTGCTTATTTTATTTATACTGTTTAATTTATAGTGTTCTATACTTTATTATTTAATTTAGTTTATAGTGTTTTACGTTTAGAGAAATTTGAAGCAGTGTTTTCATGTGAGCTTAAGCTTCAAGCTTCAAGCTTGAAGGCGAGACATCAGAGACACGGCACGTCCCTTTAATAGAATGGAATTGCGTCCATTATGGGTAATTTTCCTTTCACCATACACGAAGGTCCAGATCCAGCCAGGTGAACTTGTGATTTTATGCAAGCATGTACGATGGCGTCATGGTTGCAAAGCCGTGATATTTCATTTTGCATCACAGTGGCGAAGGCGTGTATGTGTCTACATCATGTGCCATGTGATGATGATGCATGTGTCTGCATGAGCACGTTGGATCTGAATATGCATATCATTTGCAAGGCCGGCCAACACGTGATTGTCCAACTGCAGTTCTCCTCACCTTTGGTGGAAGGTTCAAAATCTATTTGGTTGCCGGCAGCATCAACGGCGGCAGGCCTGCGGCCACACACGTATGGACAATCACGGCAAATTGCAACTCAGAGTCCCAACGACAGATACGTCATTTCATTCCCACCAGGACGACGGGGGCAAACACAGGATGTGAGGGCGCAGCCTGCGAGCTAAGTATCTTGTGTTCGACGTTCCTGATGCTAAAATATCTGCTTGCTTCGAAGGAAAACCGATTTCGATGCAGGTGCCGACTTGTCAACAGGCTGGGCAGGCTTATTCTCCAATAGCACAACATCGATCGCACAAAAGTGTGGGATCTTAACGGGCTCAAGCGCCAAAAATGCCGTCTCGTTGCCAATATTGCCTTGCACGCAAAGGAGTCCATATGACAAATGGGAATCCAAGAGAGATGAGTTGCCAACCCGTGGGACAGGCATCCAGTGACTCCATCTGTCTTTCGCCAACCGGTGTTACCCCCCAACCCCACATCCACTCTGCCAAAGTTATGACAGGCATCTGAACAAGTAACAGAGGATCAGCACTACAGCCTCCTGTCTGCGCGATTTCTTTACCATGCAACCAGCGTCATTGACGCACTCACATGAAGTGTTCAACGCTCATATTCTGAGACCCAAATACACTGCCAGTCCATGGAACTTCATTGTGGGGACTCGCACTCAAGTTCACAAGATAAATGCGTACCAGAGGCAAGAAAACGACGCAGGTAAGACACAACAGATACGCATCAAAAGGAAAGGAAAGAAAGCGCGCTATTTTCAGGGTTCACGCCAACCCGTAATTTGCCAACAGCGCCCAAGGCCACCCACCGGGCTGCGGAAGCGCCCCTCGCGGCCGCGGCCAGCAGGCACAGCGCGGCGACCGCCAGCACCGCCTCCGCGCGGATTGCCCTCCCCATGTCCTCTCCGCCGCCGCCTCCACCAGGCCGCACCACACCAACCCCTCCCAGGCGATCGCCCCCAGGGACCTGCCCTACGTTCCTGAGAAAAGAGCGCGGTTGGGCGCCAAGTCAGGACTCACTTCACGGCATCAGAAGCCTCTTTCGAAAGAGAACTTCTGCCTCCTGAGAATCCTCATGAGCGCGCCAGCGCACGCCGCAAATCGTGTGAATCGCCGGGGGGCGCCCGACCGGCGCGCAGGTGGCAACATCGGGGGTCATGCCGATCGCATCGAGTCCAGGATCCATGCGGATGCCCATGGAGGCGGCCGCGCCGGCCCGCGGATCCATGCGGATGCGCGGCGGGCGGCCATGGGAGCTGCCGACGGGGCCGCGGCGCGTCCCTCGAGCGCTCGGCGCCGGACGATCTCAGTTGCGGGCGCAGGCGGTTATAATAAACAGATCCGCGCTCTGGTGGGCTCTGACCCGTGGTGTGGGGTCTGGGGGCGATCCGCGAATGGCACGTTTCTGTATGGGGCCGCAACATTGGGAAGGGTGGATTTGCGTTCGCGCAGTGCAGGTGACGTGACTGCTGGCCGCTGTCAAATCAATGGGCGAGGCGCGGTCGAAGTGATGGAAGTTGGCGATCGGTCGGCCAGATAGGTGAACATGATGCTCGGTGCGTGTACTGGAGCGTCCGTGGCGCCACTTGCATGCCGACTGCGCCTGGGTGTGGCTGCTTCCCCCATCTCAACCTTCTGCAAAGTGAAGTGCCCTCAACAAACATTCACCTGTTGGTCAGGTGCAGCGTTCTGCGTGTGTGCAGTGGTTTTGGGCTCGCGCGGCGCGGGGGTGCGGCGGAATTGAGTGCGCATGTGGTTCAATGTGCGCACATTGGCTGCCTTTCCAGTACAGCCAACAAGTACAGTTTTGGTGAATTGCACTGCTTGTCGGAATGCAGCTGACGGTCTTTCCGTTAAATGACTGCTCAAAAACGAGTTCTCTCGACATTACCGCGTCCCCGACTGAGACGGGAACTGAATAGACAGCAGGTTTGTTGTTTGCGTTTCTGGCAACATTTTTGCCTTTCGCGCTTTTATGCATAAGACCGAGTAAGCAGAGAAACACCCATTTCTACGGCAATATTTGCTCATTTTTAGACCGCGCCGACACACGCAGGTAACGTGATGAAGTTGCACACGGTGATGAGTCCGCCGGCCCCTGGAGCCCTCGCAACACAGCACCCACCTCGCGATCGGCAAGGGCAACGACGTCGCCGAAAAAACTGTCGCCCTCTGCCCACTCCAGCGCGGCTGGCTGCCGCTCCGCGGAACTCCTCAGTATTTGTCTGCTGTCAACGAGAATTTATAGCATGGGATTGCTCCTCTCAGTCTCGGTTCCGCCAGGCGACACGTGGATGTGTTTTTGGCGCTCCCTCGGGCTGGCGCAAGCCTTCACACACTCCTCCTTCTCGCAGGAGAGCGTTTGCAAAATGTATCGTGCTGCTTAGGACTGCCACGGCTGGCGCGCGGGGTGTCCAAAGCAGGCACTTGGCAATGCGGACATCGAATTGGAGGGGGCCAACATCGCCACCGATGATCCACACCGCCGATGCTGGCAGCCGATATCCGCGATCCGCAGATCCTAAAGGGCTGCTGGGATGGGGAGCACTCGTCAATCGGACGGATGGATTTGGCGCTATGCGTTTGCATTTGGCAACCTTCGCTTCGATTCCGGCGAGCGAAGATCAAGCCCCGAATGCAGCGCCACTCATAGCTGGGATATTGATGGACGCGAGCGCCGGCGCACTAGGAAAGAAAGGGCCAAATAACACGTGTTCAAACGCGTACAAAGCTTACGGGTTTGTGTCATTTTTGTGTTCTTAGCGTGCAGAACGTTGATGAAATGTGTTTTATGTGTGTTCGCAAAAGTGTTATTTGGCCCTTTTTTTCCTAGTGGCGTGGGCGCCATGGACATGTACAAGCATGTTTCAGAAAGACTCAATCTGGCATGAGTCTCAGTAATTTGGAGTACTGCATGCCCCACTTGTTCCTGACAAGGTGACGTATGACAACACCCCGTTGTTCCGCGGAGCTGCCATGGACAGCTCAGGCGCGATTGAAGTGCTCCTGAAGGCGGGAGCGGACGCGAAACATGCAGATTTGGGAGCCGACTCGCCCGTTCTCAGAGCTGCGTTTCTAACAAAAACGCATAGTATTTCCCCAGTTTCCATAGTGTGGGGATTTGGCAGCAGTAAGGATGTTGGTGTAAGCGGGGCCAGACGTGTTGCATAGTTCATGCAGTAGCTCTCACTAAAATGAAGAGTATTCGCACATGGCGCAGTATTCGGTCAATGGCGAAACAGAATTTCGTAATTTGAAATTCTTTAACGCTCAGTCGGACTGCAGAAACGCGATCGATGTGCTAATAACTGCGCAACAGTGCCCGAGAATGGTATTGTGGCAGACATCCATAAGAAGACCCCAATGCATTCTGCAAATGGACGTTAAAGACAGCATTGGAAACATCGTAGAATTCGAAAACCAGCCGGAAAATACAGCTGATAGCAGAAGCACTGAAATGCTCTTGCAAAACACAGGCTACACCAAAAATATCGGAAATTCTGTGAAGCGCACCGCCGTCGCTTCGATACAATTTACATACCATTGTCTGTACAATTATTCGAAGCATCGCCTAGCGCTGGGCCCCTGCCTGCACCAGCGCACCCAAACCTGCCAGGAGCGATAACGGGATGCCTCAGTTATGCAATCGTCTATACCTATCATAACAGAATCGGATCCCCTGCACCTGGTGCGCAGGGACCACCACCGCCGCTCTCCAAAATTTCAAAAAACAACCACCATAACCGACGGCCAAGAGCTGAACACTGAGGTCAACGCGGCCATGAAATTGGCTTTCGCCAGTTCTCTCTGTTCACTATGTCTGAACTGTATCAGGTGCGATAGTGCAGAATTATGCATTTGGAATTCTTTTTGATCCCGGTTTCTGATCAGTGGGCAAACTTTCATTTCATCAGCCCTAACCTGCACTCGTACCCAACCATCATCCGTGCGACAAGGGCACCCCACCATGAGCTAAAACTCTCCCAAGACAGCTCAGTCCAGCGTCTTCGCATTTCCGAGCCAGCTTAATCACAGCTTATAGGCCTCTGGGCCACTCAGAAGCCGCATGCCTACGTAGGCATTAGTCACGTGTGCGTCCACTGATAAGCAGCCTGCGCGCCTTTCTCCAGTCGGCTTCAGCCAGACAATCGGCAACAAACAAACGCCTCCGGCACCGCAGACGCTCGCCCTCGCGTCCAAGGTGGCGAGAACTGTCCCAATCTGCAATATCAAAGCAATCCAGAATGAGGTTTTGCAAAATCAGAAATTGAGTTTTCAAAAATGACGGCGAATGGGTTCCAAAATGACTGTTTCGCAAAGTCACAAATGACACTTCAAAAGCCATTAAAAAATGGTACAAAATGATTTTCGGAAATAATTCAAATTTGTGATTTCGCGTAATCGAAAACTCATTTCGATCAACATCATAAGCCAGGACAGCCCCGCCTCTTCCACACCCACGCCTAGGGCTCGGCCGACTCGCCTCAGGCCAGAATCTCCATGATCTTCTCCACGGTCTCCTTCTTGCTGGCCTCGCCGCACACGCCCTCCAGGCACGCCGACTCCCCCTCGCCGTCCTCCAGGCATCCGCAGATCTGGTCCGTCGCCTTGACGCCCCCTTCCATCTCTGCCCCCGCGTCTGCGCCCGCCTCTCGCAGCACCATGGCCACTGGAACATTACCCACTCGGGCCGCCACCATCAGGGGCGTCAGCCCGGTCGCAGTCGCGGCGTCCACGTTGGCGCCGGACGCGATCAGCTGCGACGCCATGGCCTCCCCGGCACCTAAGGGAACATGGAACAGAAACAACCTTTCAGGAACAGCAAGCACTTTGAAGTACTTAAGGTTAAAGCCACTTTTCCAAGAAAAGGGCTCAGAAAGGACCTCAAGCGGCGCAGTTTGATGCCAGGCGGGATTGTTATTCACGGCATGAACGATTTTACGCATAAAATGATGTTTAACTTTTTGTGCGTAAACGCATGTACACAGACTCTGTGCACATAAAAATATTACATACAGATTTAGGGCATCCGGGGAGTGGCCACCAGACGCGCTGGAGTTGCCAGAAAAACGACCTTTTGTTCGGTGACGCCGTTGCCCTTGCCAAGGACGCGATGGACGCTGCGTTGCAAGTGCTCGATGGGGTGAAGGACTGACCATTGTTGGGGGGGGGGGGGGCATCACGTAACCTGGCAGCCTCATTGCGCAGAAAAAGTGTTTGAACGCTGCCGGTAACAATACCCCTTTCTTTCTGTTTACGTTTTCACCCGTAAAACATGAACGTAGAAATGATGCGGTGATTGTAAATAACAAGCCTGTCCATGTAGACATGGTTCCCATGTTCTGTTAGATACCCATTGCACATGGAAAACTCTTCTGCAGAGCCACGGACACTTCGCTACATTAGCAAATTATTGGTGCTCAAACGTAAGAGTATCTTTCTCATGCGCACCGACGAAACTCGCGGCAACGTGCAGCGGCACCGCTCCTATGTCGTTTCCCAGATTGGGGTCCGCGCCCGCCTCCAGTAGCGCCGCCACCACTTTCACGTGGGGCCCCGCCACAGCCAACGTCAGGGCCGTGGCGCCCCCGTCCGCCGCCAGGTCGACGTCGGCGCCCGAGGCTATGAGGGATTGGACGACGGGCAGGTGACCGCCCTGGGAGGCAATTATGAGGGCCGTGCCGCCGTCCGCGGACCGCTGGGCGTTCACCTGGGGGCAGAGGCAGGGCGTGAGGGGGCAGGCTGGAGCGGCCAAAGGGAAGCATGATTGCCGTTTGCTGTGCACAGAGGAGAGCTGGATCTCAAGAGGAGATGTCTCTGGACTGAACGACCGATCGGAATGACGTGGTAGACTGTGCGTTCCTAGTAGCCGGGAAAATGATGGCAGTCCTTGATGAGCGGGTCCCGCTGCTTTGCAGGAGTCACAGCAGTTGTTTCGGTCTGGTGAGCGGTAGAGAAAAGATGGCACGCTTATGGAAAATCTTTGAAAGCCGTTTTCCCGGGAAAGAATTCAGGACGTAGGGTGGTCCCATTAACAAACACCAAACAAGATGCTATAAAATTTCACCAAGTTGGCGCGATATTGTGAGTATTAATGCCCGAACTTCAACAATCTAATGTTGTTCGAGCATAGGCACAAACTGTGGCAAATTCTCAAATGAGAAGCAGACAGACAACGCGTTTCACAGCCGCGCTTGCAGTTGCACACCGACAGTGAAGGTGACAAAACGCAATTATCGTCGAAACGTTAATTGCATCGGCGCCATTACAATGGCCTCACTAATTAGCGTCGAAGGGTACACTGGTAGAAAACGCCATGTCTGCGACGCCAGCTGCGATGCCATTTTGACACAAATTGATGCTGTCACAGTGATTGCGATGGCATAAAAGGGGCTTTGACGGCATCAATTTTCTGTCAAAATGGCAGCGCAGTTGGCATCGCAAACAGGCTGTTCTCTATTGGTGGTGACCATCCACTGTGCGCCCACCTCTGCTCCTGCCTTCAATAGGGCGTCCACGACCTTCACGTGTCCTTCCTGAGCTGCGGCAAAGAGGGCCGTGGTGCCTTCTGTGTCGGCCGCGGAGACATTGGCGCCTGCAACGAGGACAAAACAGGTCAGTGCCATCGGCAGGGCGGTTGGCGTTATCTTGTAAGCTTTTGGGCCCTCATTAGGGACCCTGAGGCGGCCACATTGATCAATGGATGTGTTGCTGTTATGTGTTTCACAACATGTTAGTGTTATGGACATGTTAATGTTCATCGCAATCACCACAACACATCGATTACATTTGTCAGGCAATGACAAAACACAGCCCGTGCACATAATTGGCGATGATGGGCGTGAAGCCAAGCAGGTTGTTGCTCGAAATAGACTGAATACGATAATACGGCAATCGATACGAGGCGATCGCGCCTCGTATTGCAATTGCAATTGCAATGGACTTTTCGCACGACACCGGGAAATGTTGCAATGCGAATCTAGCCCATGTAATAATGGTCAGTCTGGGTATCATTAACGCTTCTGTCTCAGGCACTCGTCAGTAACGTCGTCAATATTCATGTTATGTGTATAACATCACATCAAGTTTGATCAGTGATTGAAGTTGTGCTCTACCGAGCATGATCACATTCCAGAATGCGGCGTCAGGCAAACGTTATGCGTTTCGAGGAGGTGCTATTCGGCACATTGTTGAAGCCAATGTGTTGCTCTTGGCGGGAATTCTTCGAATATTTGTAGCTTTGTATCAAAGTTACTTGAAATCTCCTCTTAACACATCGATGTAATAAGAGGAAGCTTTAAACAACTTTGATTGCAGCTAGAAATGATGCGCACAGCTTTCGTCTGACGTCTCATGCATTAACAAGGGAAACAACCACAAAATGGAACATACAGTATCAAAAATCGTATGACCGCTGTTTTAGATGTAATCACAGCGCTTTGTGCACTGCTTGCCTATAGCAATGTGGACATCGATAGCACAGCATTCATCAGTCCGAGCAACATGGGTAGCACTAGTTGGCGAACGCACAGGGTGATTTACTTCAAGCGCGCTCGCATCGACTCTCTGTGCAAGTAATTTCGAGTGCTTTCGATACTTTGTGGGAGGCTATACTTCATAGTATGTGCAGAACTTCGTCGATGCACTACTAGTCTACAGTGCCTGTATTGAGCGAGACCAAGATCCGGCGAATGTCCCTTCATTTCCATACGATACTTGTGACAATCGTATCAGGCTTGCACAAATTTCCCCGCTGCTGATCTATCAATTGATGACATTTTTTGCAACCATCTGCGACGCAATGACCTTAGCTCACCTAAAACGTGCTGTGCGACTAGTTTTCAATTTATAACACATTGAAACTATATCCGTGAGACTACTGACATCCATCCAATTTACGCAAATGTGCAATTGCGCGATCAAGATGGGTCATGGGTCGACCTGCGTCGATGAGAGCTTTGACTGCGGCGAGGTGTCCCGCGTGCGCGGCTATGGTCAAGGCCGTGTCCTCCTGATCCCCGTGCTTGGACTCAATGTCGGCGCCGCCGGCGATGGCTTTCTTGATGGCCTTGGCATTTCCTTCGGAGGCGGCAATAATGAGATCCTGCGAGCAGAGCGGATGTTACAAGGCGCCATAACCTGACACCTGCATCTAACAAGATCTGAGCACCCTGTGTTATGGCCATATCCTCGCCATGCCCTTACTATATTATTACCATATCCTGAATATGGGGCTTCGTATGTTGGCAAACGCAAACGCAAACGTAAACAACAAGGCTGCTCTGTATTTTGTTGTATCGTTGATCTGAAATACCGGCGCAGTTTGATGCAAACGCCAGTGTATTCAACGTATGTGAGACTGCTGCGCTGTTTCTGTACCCTGGGGATAGACCTCAATCGGCATTTTTACTCATTCCTGTTCCATGCATAGCACCGTGAGCAAAATCTGAAATGGTCGCTTCAGCAGCGCGCCATGTTCCAAACGGATCTGTCTCAGAAGTGTTATGAACAATGTTCGCCATCACGACAGCAACAATACCCATGCTCTAGATATATGATGTTCTTGGTATCTTTTGCGTTTGCGTTTGCGTTTGCGTTTGCGTTTGCGTTTGCGTTTGCGTTTGCGTTTGCATTTTCACTTTGTTTACACTTTTGCGCCTAAAATTGTAAATATGCCAAAATGTCGTTTTCGCGGCAGTATTTGCATTTTGCGGATCGTTGTGACACCCAGATTACGCGATGAAAGTCGAGTACAATGATCAGTTCTCCGCCCGCTGGAGCGCCTACAACACGGCGTCCACATCAGCCCTCGGCACGAGCAACGATGGCGTTGAACAGGAGCACGCTTTATTCCCATTCCAGCGCACCTGGCTCCCAATTTTGGACTCCTTAAGCCTGTGTGTACTGTACTCAAGCACACGGGATATATGTACGTGGTATTTACGTATTTTCGCTGATTCTTACGCGCAAGCACATAAAAACTATTTTTGCACGTAAAAACGAGAACGTGTTCAGTTTTACAGCGTACATGACAATCCCGATACAGAGCGTGGTGATTTACGTATCAACATCTTGCTCTATATTCATGGCATCGATGAGGTGAACGACAACACCGCTATGTTCTGAGTTGCGAGCTATTGGTGTTGCGAATGTATCGCAGACGTGCATGAAATGGTACCATTTTTGATGGGAAGCGTGTTCCGATATTCCCGATGGCTTGAGGTATCGATATATTGTCAAGTAGACGGTGACTTAGCATTTCCAAAGAAGACGAGCACTCTGAAGTCTACCGTGATCCCAATTGTACTCAGCATAACGCAGGCAGAGGTACTTGACGTCTCTCGCCTGACCACTGACTTTTTGCACTTATATTACTGTATACTACCAATACTACTACATACCAGTGTTACCCTTGTACCTATATTACTTAGGATATGTTAAAATCTGGCAGCGCCGTCTCGCATCTGTAGGAGGCGCTGCAGGGGCTGTGCATTTGCAGAAATGACGCTTGTGGAGGAGTGCTCATATCAGGGGAATAATATTACTGCCTGCACCAAATCAGTGACTGCTTGCACTAAATCACGTGCACACTATGTCCTAACCTCAGTTTTAGGGTTAGGTTTAGTTTTAGAGTGAGTTTTAGGGTTAGGGTTAGGGTAAGGGCAGGTTTAGGTTTAGGGTTAAGGTTTAGGTTTTAGGTTAGGTAAGTTTTGGAGGGAGTTGGTGCAAGCAGTCACCGATTTAGTGCAGAAAGTCACCGATTTTTGGTGCAGCCAGTAAATGTATGCCCACAACAGGCAAGCGGCACATCAGTTCTAAAGCATCTTTACCAAATCGTTGAGGCAGATATGGCAGGCGCCCAAAGCTCCTGGAAGTCATCAACACCTGGTTCTGAGGCTTGATGGCGTGCGCATTGTTCTCACCTTATTCACCTCGTTCGCCTTTTTCATGACTAACCTTCGCGAATGCAGTAAATCTGCACCAATGCAGAGATGCCCTGTTAAAACGAGGTCGAGGATGCAGCTCACTTCTGCATTACTAACGGCATTGATACTGCAGAATAATAGTAAGGCTGTACAACTAACAAGGAAAATATTAATAAAATAAATTTGCGTTGCTTGAGCTGCTTTTATGAAAAGCTTGACACAACGCGGGGCAGATGGCAGCATTGACAGGCATTGGCAGCATTGAGCAACGTAGACAGCAGCGTGAAGCCGCTGTGATGGCATGAGCCCGTACAGGAGACACACCCACCCCTTCCTCCTGACGATGCTTCCCCTCTTGCGTCGATATTCGGGACTCTGGGCAATGCGCACACCACCGCAAGCCATTAGGGCGGATCGGTATCACTGAAGAAAGTCGCCACCGCCCTCATCGCACAATTAATAAATTGGCCAAAATACACGGATTCGAACTGTGGAAAATGTTTAGAACCGTGTCAACGTGTAAAAATCATATACGCTCTCGCCATCGTTACTACACGGTTGGCCCCATTTTTCATACGATAAACACACGATTGAACACGGTGTTTACTCGAGTTCCAATTATTTACACGATTTACACGATTTACACGATACGCGATTTTCGAAAATGTGCATTTTTGCCTGTTTTTAGCCGGTGTTGGCAGATGGCATGATGAAGCCGGCGGCCTATAGGCTAGCTAGCCGCGGTGATCCACCAAACGCAGTGGCCGCGCGCTGTGAAGCTACTCTTCCCAATGGCCATTTCGCCAATTTTAGATCTTGGACTGTTTAGGAATTGCAAGATCCTCGTGGCACTGATGGCGAGCCACAGCGGCGCAATGGCAAAGACATGAATGAGTCGATGCAGCATTCCATCTTCGCACCAAGTACGGTGCGAGATCGCAAGGCAGTCAGACACATCAATGTCCAGGCATCAACAGCATCGACACGACTGAAACGAAATGGATGAAGCGAGCCACGGGCGGGATGGCGTCAAGTTTCTATGTCACCGCAAACCGCCGCACCCCGCTGCCCATCAAGGGCATCCAACCAACCGGGGCCCAGCGCTCACCTCGCGGCGGCGAGTTCCGCGACGCCCATCAGCAGAAGGAAGGCGAAAGCCCATCGCCCCATCGCAACCATCGCGGCGCAAGGGCCACCGACACAGCAGCGCACCCTGCCAGGCCACGCCAAATCCTCGGTCAAATGCACGGCCATCATTCTTCGGCCCTCCTCGCCGGCCCACCGGCCGCACACTCATCTTTGCAACGCTTGCTCCCGCTTTGCCTATGCCGGAGATTCCAGAGTGCTGGCCGCGAGCGGCGATCCAATGTGCCTCGCCCTTCCAATCCAATGGCACAGTGGCATCCGGCCGGAGAACCTCGAACGCCATACATGGCGCCACATTGCTATGCAGCAGCCACAGCATCCGTTGCGACACTTCCCCCACCCTGCGTGCGCACTGGACGCATGCGACCCGCGCTTCGATCCGCATGGATCCCCTCGCCCGCGCGGATGCATCCGCATGAATCCTCCTCGGCCAATGGAAGCAGGAAATCGGTCCCCGCCCCGCTCATGCGGCGCACCTTGCGCGGATATCGGAACCCCTCCTACAGGTTGGCGGCCCAGTCGCGACGGGGCCGACCAAAACGTGCGGAGGACTCAAACGGGCCGCCCTTTTGTCTTGTGAGGTGTGACCGGCCTTTGGCCCAGCAGTGCTATGTACCCCTCGGCTGGCTCATTCCTCAAGTCACCCTCGTGGGGAACGGCGGTGTATTGATGAAACGTTGGAATCAGGCTGGGAGGCTGGCTTGGAAATGGGATGGTGCGGTGGGCAGAGGGGAGGGGCTGGGCGGCCGCGTCGGACATGGATGCACCCAATACAGCGCGTTGACATCGGAGCACTTCCGAAGGTGGCGTTGTGCTCAAAATACATGCCGTTATCCCTCCGATTTGCCACAGCTTATGCTGGTCCTAGCCACGGGCCCTGCCGCCAAGAGAGGCAACATTGCTGGGCTGCCAATGGCGAGGAGTACTCCTCACTACACACCGCACACTAGTTGGGTGCGCGGGAAGGAATGCAGTATGTAAGATAGGGGAGCTAATTAAGGGGAATTGGCTGTAGTGAACGAATGCGGACGACTTTGGGATTGGTTCATAGTTGGGGATGGCGGCGGGAATAGGAGCTGAGGAAGTGTGGGAGTGTGGGAGTGTGTAGCGTACGTGGGTAGCTGGTGGGCTAGTTGGCAACGGTGCATAGTTGGTATGGGCGGCGGTAATACGAAGTTGACTTGGGGAATGAACACGAACCCGGACAGCTCGTGAAAGTGGCCAGAGTGGGGATTCTGGATACAGCAACTCACGAACCGTCACATCATCAAGCTATAAACACCACTCACTCCATCTGTAAGCACGGGTTTGGTTAGTGTGCGACAGAGTTGTCCTTCCTCGCGTGACCAGTTGTGAATGCCTCCCGTTACCCCTTGGGTCACCGCAGCGCAAAGGCTCAAGCCGCCCGTTCGCGACAGGTGCCGTCAGTCTTTCCATCTTGGAAACAAATTACCCCTTGCCCGCCAATCTTTCGTGGGATCAATTGCTCAGAATCAGGCGCTTGTAGTCCAAGCCTTGCAATAACAGATCAGATCGCTCGGCCGTATCTCGGCCGTTTTGATTCTTTACCATATAAAATTGCCCCTAGCTCAGAAGGACTCGCGCCCAGCCGCAGCCTCGCATTTATGGCCGAATCGCGAGGGTTGTGTGCAAATAGTCGTGTTTGTCAGGATATCCCCAACTTGAAAAGTTTTTGTACATGAGGTCGCTTCTGCCATCCCGCGACAGAGCACTCACGCATGCACCAGGAGAGCGATGCATGCAAGAATACCAAAATGTCTTCTCCACTTAAGTCCTAGCAAAAATGGTGCTTCATAAGATGATTTTTATTCCGATGTTCTCTGCTGTTCACAAGCGCAGCCTGTCTGTGCGTCTAAGATCACTTACGTTGACATTCTCGTCAATAACTTGGATGCTTCTCCCCTTCTTTGAACCCCCACCAGTATCCGATACCCGACCTCGAACGATCCGAATCCGTAGATATATCCAGCCAAAAAGTAAAGGCATCCTAAAGCCATCTGCCAACATGTCCCTGGGGAGGCTACCTGCCGCGTATGGTGCACAATTGCAAGGAACAAACCAACCAGGCGTCCAAAAGCACAAGCGCAAAGAGTAGCCAGCATCCCCGCAGCACTTACCCCAGTTACAGCAAGTGTCGCTCCCTCAAAACAGCAGCGCCCCAAGAAGAGGACACAACGCAATGGCTGCGTGACAATGCTGCTACAAGCCACCAAGCTACACCGGAACCACCCCTGCCCCTGCCGACTTTTGCACATATGTACTTCCATAGTTAAGTACTGCGAGCACGCGCAACCTCGAGCAAAGCGAAATTGCAATCCAGCGGGCGGCCGCGCAAAGAAGCCCCGTGTTCCGCCGTCAACGTCGTGCCCCATCATCCTACCTGGTGCGGCCCTTCGCCACGCCATCACGCCTGGTCCGACAACGCCATCTTGGTGAAAGGCCTTGCCCTGTCGCGTTAGCACCTAATCAATGAAATATGACCCCATGTTTGTCTCTAACTAATGCAACCGCCGCCACTCCGAGCAGGGCGAACATTGCAATCCTACTGGCGGCCATGCAAACAAGCCCCGAGTCCCCGCCATCAAAGCCACCCCATTCCGGCTTGCCCGACTGCACCACCCTGAGAGAAATGCCTTCCATTGCCGTGCTACGGCAAGTATATAACATTAGAACAGGCCACTAAATTGAATTAGTATCAAATCAATCCGCCTCGAGAGGGACTACAGCCCCAGCAGGTCTCTCAGGTGCGGCGTTAGGAACCGCCCCTGAGGGTCCATCCTCCTCCTGACCTCCCTAAACTCCGGCAGGGTTTTTCCATACGCCTCCTGCGCCTGCACGTGCCGGGCCTTCAGGCGCGGCGTCTGGTTCAGCAGCGGCGTGCCCCCCCATTGTGCGCAGAACTCGTTGTACTCCTCCAAAAAGGAATACCAGCCTTCGTCGGGCACAGTTACGGGGTCGAAGCTCAGGGACTCGTCTTCCGTGGAGTGGGAGAGAAGGGAGCTGTGGTCGCGGTACAGGCGGTACCCCACGTGCGGCAGGCTGGTCCTCCAGCCGGTCCTCCTGAGGTGGTCCTGGCAGAAGGCGTAGTAGGCGCGCAGGGCGTCCGGGAAAGTGTGAGCGGGGAAGGAAAAGAGTGAAAACGCGATCTTCTGGCCCTGCGGGGTGTCGTCGGGGTAGCGGTGCATCTGGGCGGGGGGATAGTTGTTGCCGCCGCCAATGAACGGCCCGGCCAGGCCGAGGAAGGCGCTGAAGGCGGATGCCATGCCGTTTGTCAGCCACTCGGGCGCGGCGGCCATTTGGTTGATAAAGCGGCCGAAGACGGGCCCCACGCCGCCCCAGAGGCCGTTGCGGACCCTGAAATGCAGGGAGGCCCACCAGGAGAGGGGTTTGGCCGACAGGAGAAAATTGGGCTCCGAGGCGTTCACGGCGGGGTTGTCGTGATAGGCCCTGAATTCCACCGTCATCTTGTCCTCGTAGGGGTAGTAGTAGATCATGACACTGGTCCCCGAGGAGCGGATGTCATCCAGTTTGGAAAGGAAGTCGTCCAGGGTGTAGGTGCGGTGTGAGAGCATGATGAGCTCCAGGGGCCGGACGCGGAAGGTGACTTCGTAGACGATTCCCAGAAGGCCGTAGGAGCAGCGCACTGCACGCAGCAGCTCCGGGTGGTTGTCCTCGTCTATTGTCATCTTGTCGCCTGCGCGAATAGAAAAGAAAATTACCTCGATGATGACTGCGATGTTATTTGACACTTATTGGTGCCATCAGAGCTGCTTTCATGCCATCTCAATCGCCACGATGACGTCACTTTGTGTCAAAATGGCGTCGCAGTTGGCATCGCAGATATGGTATTTTGTGTTGGAGCTAGGGATGCATGGGTGCGGGACGCCCAGCGCACACAGGCCAAGAAGCGGGGTTTCAAAGCAATTTGGCGCCACAGGTACTGGCGCTTGGCACAATTCCATTTAAGTCCACTGAAACTAGATTTCACTCAATTAGTCCCATATCGAATTGTCCAATTGAAGAGATTGGGGCAGCAGCAATGCCTAGGCCTACAGGCTGTACGCTACAGCATTAGAATGTACAACCTTGTAAACCTAACGCCGCCCTTTGGCAGCATTTCTGCCGCATGGGAGGCTCATCTCAGCATTGCCGGTGCCGCATCAGCACCTGAATAATTGTGAAATGCGGCGCGGAACACGCTTGTGTAAGGCACGTGCATATGCTAAAACGCCACGAAGTCAGTGATCCATTGGGGCTGTAATGCACAATCAACAATGACGCTTCTAGTATCATACCACAGGAGTTAATAATGAAATGCACTGTTCAGGCTCCCAGTATCTCGAAAACGAGAACCCAAGTCCAATCTGCTGTGAGATTTACACACGCCTCAAGTGCCTCGCAAACGTCAGGCCGAATGATCCGCTTCCAGTCAGCAACTGCACAGACTTCCTCATATTCTCCTGACCGCAATCTAGATTCACGCGGACAGCGTTTTGTTGAACTTCTTACATCAAATGCACTTGTCCCATTGCACGCCCAATGCTTGGATCCATTCCAACAATTGCGATGCAACGTGTTTCGTTCATTGTGTACACAATAATATAATCATATATCGGAAGATCAATAATCCTAAATATATAACGATACAGCGGAACATCCGTTATGTGACAAATGTAAAAGAGATGACCAGATTCTCTGCATCACATTGCGTCATGTACCGCGCGCGACTTGTGCAAGCGCTCACCGTCAGCCGTCACGATTTTCACGCCCACCACGTACGAGCTGATCTGCCCGTGCTCGCCCACGAAGGCCGCGTCCTTGGTGTGCGCCACGGCGGCCGCGCCTGAGGTTATGCTGCCGAACTCGGTGTTCACGTAATGCATGAGGCCGTGCTTCTGCAAGTACTCCGACACATCTATGTACAGCGCCCCCGCCTCCACTGTGACAGTCAATTTGGACTCGTCGTGCCCAAGGATTGCGTTCATCTTCCTCATGTTCACCACAGTGCCTCCGTCCGCCATGATCACCTGAAGCAAACAGCGGTGTAAGTCGGCGTTGAGTTGACAGCAGACCGAACGGGCATGAGATAGTTTGTGTGGATATCACACATAATTCCATGTTTTTGTTCTTCCGCTGCATTTCTGGGACGCCCTGGGACATAGACATTATGCGCAACTTTCGGGCAACCCAAAGAACGGCGGAAACTTGTGAATCTGCAAGAAAATTGAACAGAAAGGGAACCCAGTGAACTACTAGGGACAGGTATTCTCTGAATTAGTTTTGCTTGTCGATGAGCGCAATCGCTAGTGATATGCATATCACAATATCGTCAGGATATGGCGATGGTAGTTTTACACAAGTCCATGCACAGAAATTCTACAAATATATTTACGCACCAGTGATACACTGGAGAGGGACCGCTGGACATTATAATGTGCACAGAGGTACGCTGCACTTGCAGGCTATTCGATTCCCTCGTCCTGCTTTCCTTCACGCCCCCAAATTACGTAAGGTATGGGTCTACTGCCAAGGTTTGCTTGACCAGCATTCAGGCTAAGGAAGGCGCACTGAAGACGGCACGTAGTTTCGAGGGGTGGCGATCCCTGACAGGGATCTGCAAGCTCGAGCACACGACAGCGATTTACAGCGGAGCAAAGGAGCAACAGGCGTTCTGTTCCTCGTGTCAGGTGCGTTCATCAGAGTCCTTAATGCAGGTCCTAATCCCTCGTCAGCTCTTCATGCGCCCAGAACTCGAGCTACAAGAGCACAATTGCCAGGGAGCCCCACCATCGTTCTGAGCGGAGCGGAACCGGCTCACCTTCGTGTTGGAGTGCCGGGACCCCAGGGCCCGCACGGGCGCCGGGTACGACTCGCCGTCCCTCACCACCTCCACGATGTCGTCGGCGCTCCTGACCGTCACGAATTGCGCGGGATTCGTGACGATGTCCCTTCCCCAGTTGCGCACCTCCACGCCCGCCGCACCCCACACTGCCAGCAGCAGCGCAGCCGCCGCGGCCGGGAGCCAGTGCCGGGCCTCCGCCATGGGTGCCCGATTTGCTGGTACACCTGGCGGGCACGGCGCAGACGTATCAGCCACCTCATGACGGCAAACGGAATTGTGCCCTCATGCCAGTGAATCATGACAGCACCCGACAATGCCATCCGGCGCGGCGTGCCAAGAGGGTCGGAAGGCGGCCCGAGGCCATGGGCCGAGCTGGGTGTGTGTGCATTGAACTCTGACCAAGCGGGGCCGCACCCGGCGGTCATTTTGCCCAGAAAGGCGCGGGTCGGTCCCACGCATGGGGCGGTGGGTCTGAATCGATGCATGCGGTCCGAATCGATGGCGCCACCCTTGGCGGGCGTCCGTGCCCGCACCCATCGCCTTCAAAGTACAAAACTCGGGAGGGCGGCGATACACTTCCGTGGGCCTGCGACAGATGCCGCGTCGGACATACCTGTGGCGGGGCCGACAGCTGTCCACCGACGCCTCCCGCGCTCCCCTGAAGTGGCGTGCTGCGCTAACTATACGCCAGCCGCCCCGCGCCGTCGCCCCCTGGTCCGGGGCGGAAACGGTGTGGCGCGCAGTAGCGGCCCCTGCGGGATGAGACCCGTCGAGGGGGCTGGACGGGTCGAGGCGATTGCGCGCGCGAGCTGCCAAGGATCATGGGTGTCCATGGGCGCACATGGAGATCGAGTGATCCCGATGTGTGAGTCTTCCATGAGTGTTGGCGCACGTGCGCCGGGGGCCGTACTACTGGGCGCCGCCATGATCCGAGCCGTGAAAATTCCAAAATTTGGCCGACTGTGCCACAAGTCACGTATTGGAATGCGACTCTGCGCGGGACAAATCAGTGGGATCAACACGTGGGATTACTCACGCTGATGCGGATAACTATTCACCCACGCCAGCGATGCGCACAACCTGGGGCGTTGGGTCGTGCCGGTGTGACTCGATCATGAAAAAGTGAGAATTCCAAAATTTGGCTGACTCAACGTGGAAAGGTTACGTATTCAAATGTGACTCCTCGTGGGATTTACCCGTATCGGTCATGCGCATGGCCTGGCGCGTGGGGGGGTAGGTGGGGGTGGGGGGGTGGCCGGGGGTTACTGTTCAACAGGTTGAATCAACAGCAACTGCGCGAGAGCCGAGGGGAAGTTGGGACGCACCAAATCCGAATGGGCAGCGCGCTTTTTGGGCCGGACATCATCCAGCGCATGTGCCTGGCTCAGGGACATATGTCCGCGTGTGCGCTTTTCTGAGGTGAGCAGTTTCAAAGGGTCAATTTGCCACCCAGGCAGGCTTGGTTCACGGTCTGACGCTTGATTGTTTCAATGTTGCGCGTGATGGACGCCGGATCGATTACTTCCTTGGGATTATAGAGAGTGTGTGCTGGCCGGGTGGTTTTCATCACAGGGACTTAGATTGCACTTGCGGATGGATACCGAGGTTGCTAAGTTAGGATTTCACATCACAACCCGGTTTTCACGCATTTCGTGGACGCCTGAGTGGCACGTGAACACTACATTAACATTAGGCTCGGACAAGCGCTAACAACTTGGAAACAAACTTTGTGTCGATTCCACACCACAATCAGTGCTTGAGTGGGAATAAATGGGCTCAATATTCATTTGACACGTGGGATCCCATGTACTTCTTGTTTGCAACGCTTCAAATAGCTACAGCGCCATTAGACGGACCCATCCACAAACTGCCCGCCACTTATGATTAAGACGATGGGTCGCTACATAAGCGTGTTGTGCACTGCACAAAACAGCTTGTTCAAGCCAACATCGCAGCAGATCTAGATTGGAACGGACATAAAAAATGGTGGCGTAAGTATTTGGTAGCTTTTTTTTGTCGTTTCCATGTTGCCTTGTTCATATGCTGCAGACTTTCCGCCGTTCTTCGAAGCAACGCCAACGAATCTACCATTTTAATCCAGAATGTGAGATCCTGTTGCCTGGTGGAAGGGCATTCATATACAGCTGGACTTTATTTTAAGTTTTATGAGACCCGTGGAGACATGCATTAAAGCTTGGCGAATCGAATTGACACGTTATGTTCAACAGTCATTTTTCCGTCCACACCTCTCGGAAATGCAGAACGGCATACCTTGGGAGTTTTCAATCACAAAATCTCCACAACTGACGGCGACAAGGCACACTAATTCTATTCATGGATGCTTGCACGGAGAATCCGATATGCGAACTTCTGCGATGATTGCTCGCGACCGATCGGTCGTGTTCAGCATGAAGCTATCCGCAAAGAAAATCGTTCTGGCCAGAATCAATTTTGACATCAAGCTGACTGAGACGTGCGAATGCTCGCACAGGTGGGCCCGCAACTCCGAAATTGCTTCAATCTGAGGCACACAGGATGAGATCTGATAATGCTATTTAGAAGTGCACCAAAAAATCCCTGAATCGTCAAATTATAATTGCAAGGGCGAATGCCCAAGCGAGAATTTGTTTGCCGCTTGGGAGTCAGAATCTGATCGGCGAGCAGCGATGGCTACTTAAAGGGAACGAATATTCGAACAGCATCATGAATGGATTTGGCCGCATTTGTAATAGCAAATCTACAACGCCCAGTGGCTGGAAGCACACGTGCATTGCACGTGTGCAATCTTCATTCGGCTTGGTCATTTTGAGCAATGCTGGGCCGACATTTCAAGTGAGAGGGTGCTTCTCGCCGTGCTTTGAACAGAAACTTTGGGATGCCGCCTCCGAGAGAGATGCAGTGAGTGTGAAGGAAGATCTGGAAGAAGGTGCCGACTTTGCACGAAAAGGCACTTGTGCCGAAACGCAAATGGGAAAGTACAACAGGACAGCCCTGCAAGAGGCCGCTTTCAAGGGCCACGTTGACGTCATGGAGATACTCATCGAGGCGAGAACCGATGTCAACGCCGGGGAGAATGTCTGCAACAGCGCACTAATGGGCGCTGTGTACAACGGCGAACTGCCCATGGTGCAGATGTTGTTCAAAGCTGGCGCCAGGACATAAAAAGTGGAGGATGCCCCCGAGCTTCTGTTCACAGTTTTATGACGGAAGAAGGCGGTGACGCTCTCAGTGAGCTGGTACGCTGATGAAGAATTGAAATGTCGTTCCCCAGAATGGGTCTGTTAAAAGCAGAGCAATTTCGGGTGGTCATCTGCAAAATTGTGGATGAAATAGCGCCGATCACTGCGCACAATGGCTACCATCTTTAAGCTACAGCTTTGCCCTCTGCCAGGAAGGTGGGTGAAGTCACCAGATGAACTAAGCAAGAAGCGAAGAACAGAAATAACGAATTCTTGCAGAAGCGCACAAGGAGTGAGACTTGATCATGCTCGTGGGCGACGGGCAGCTGCTGCTGGCACTGAAGATGATCACATTTTTGCGTTCACGGCCGCATGGTCATGCGGCTTGATATGTTTCCAGCTTCGATTATCCGTTATGCACCTTGGCATGCGGTGAATATTTCTTTTCGCGACAGTGGACCATTCTTTTTTGCGACAGCGGCAAACTACTCTTTTTTGCGACAGTGGATTGTTCCTTTTTGCGACAGTGCCCCTGTTGTTCCTTTTTGCGACTGTGGCCGTGGCCAAAGTGTGCGACTCGGCCAGCCAAGCGCCATGAATCGGCGGCCGGCCAACCCTGACCTTTGCGCTGCGCAACCCGTCCGCCGTTCGGGGACCCCTTTCCCGCATCAAGACACTTCTTCTGCGGGTTGCAGGTCCGTGGGCCACGTCCACGGCGGGCCAAGGCACGTGTAGGTGCCGGCCAGGTGGATGCCGGCCGCTGGCGGGCCACCGACACACGCCAAGACATGCACGGGTGGTTCTGCCGGCCAACCTGCGAGGACTATCGCAAAGGTTGGGTGCAAAAGACGCCGCAAAACGGCGGGTGGGGGGCCCGAAAGTTGCCTCCGACTCCCGCGCTGATGCTCCTCGTGATCACCGAATGGTGCCACCCGCGGATGCCCTGATCGGTAGCCGCGAGTGGCAGCAATCGGCGCCCGCAGGGGTCGACTGCGAACTGCGATCTATGGCCTGTTTTAAGTCCAACGCTTGGGTGCAGAACACGCCACAAAACGGCGAGAGTGGGAGGCCGAACGTCGCCTCCCACTCCCGCCATTCTGGCCTCTCATGGCCACCGGCTGGTGCCACCCGCGGGTACCTAGATTGACACCCGCGTGTGGCATTATTCGGTGGCCACGAGGGGCGGATGCCAAAGGGCAGCCACGGGCTGCGCGGCGCACAAGTGTTGGGCGCAAAGGACGCCACAAAAAGGCAGGAGTGGGAGGCCACCCGTCACCTCCCACTCCCGCCATTCTTTCCCATCATGGCCACCGGTTGGTGCCAGCCGCGGGTGCCTATCGGGGCACCCATGTGTGGTACCAGTCGGCGCCTGCAAGGAGCCAAAGTGGGCACCATGCTTCGCTCCGCATAGGCGGAGATCCGCCGCGGATCGATCTCACGCCTCCCCGGTCCGTTCCTCCTGGAGAGGCCCGCGGCCCTGGCGCTTGGCAAACCGTCCGTCAGGAAGCCCAGCACCCTTTCACCCGCCCGCCCTCCCCCCCCCCCTCCCCCGTTGTGGCCTCTTCGCCTTTGTGAGCCACACCCATTCCCCGCCGGGCCACTGGTCATTCGCCACGGCACCCGCCCATCGGCTTTGACCTTGCTTTTGTGCCGTGCATGGCGGGCTCGCCTGCCCTGCTTCCCGTATTGTGGCTGCCTGCGGCTCTGGAAGCCTCCAGGCCGGCAACCCCGTTTCACTCGTCAGCGTGCCCCGAGGGGCGGCGAAGCAGCGACCTGCAGGTCACACACTCTTCCGCGCAACTGTCGCAAAAAAGAGCAATCGGGCCACTGTCGCAAAAAAGAACACTTCCGGCATTGTCACGGAAATGATGAACGTTGTGGCAATAACGAGCAACACTGTCGCAAAAAAGCACAAGTCGCAAAAAAGAACAATTTCACTGTCGCAAAACAAATAGTAACCTTGGCGTGCTTCCTGTTGCCTAAATCCAGACAATGAATCGCAGGTTGACCTGGAACACAGTATCGAAGCGTCTGTTGGCGCCATCGAATCGCCGCTCCTTCCGGCCACCAGTTTGTGCGATGTCCCCATCGTGGCTGTGCTGTTGGCGGGGGGCGCTCGCTCCGACTACAGGGATTCACTCGGCGACGCCGCGCTGCTTCAGTGGCAAGCACCGGGGGCCGCGACAGCGGAACATTAGCCGGGCGCTGCTGGAGGCGGGAGGGGACGTGGGACGCCACTCCGAGCAGAACGAAAATTGCAATCCCACTGGCGGCCACGCAAACAAGCCCCGAGTCCCCACCATCAAAGGCACCTTGCGTCATGCCACCTGATGCCGCCCTTGGCCACCCCATTCCGGCTTGCCCGACTTCACCGCCTTGAGCGAAACGCCTTCCATTGTCGTGCTACGGCAAGCATGTTAGAACTGGCCCCTGAATTGGATCAACATCAAATCAATCCGCCTCGAGAGGGACTACAGCCCCAGCAGGTCTCTCAGGTGCGGCGTCAGGAACCGCCCCTGAGGGTCCATCCTCCTCCTAACCTCCCTGAACTGCGGCAGGGCCTTCCCGTACGCCTCCTGCGCCTGCACGTGCCGGGCCTTAAGGTGCGGGGTCTGGTTCAGCAGCGGCGTGCCCCCCCATTGTGCGCAGAACTCGTTGTACTCCTCCAAAAAGGAATACCAGCCTTCGTCGGGCACAGTTACGGGGTCGAAGCTCAGGGACTCGTCTTCCGTGGAGTGAGAGAGAAGGGAGCTGTGGTCGCGGTACAGGCGGTACCCCACGTGCGGCAGGCTGGTCCTCCAGCCGGTCCTCCTGAGGTGGTCCTGGCAGAAGGCGTAGTAGGCGCGCAGGGCGTCCGGGAAAGTGTGAGCGGGGAAGGAAAAGAGTGAAAACGCGATCTTCTGGCCCTGCGGGGTGTCGTCGGGGTAGCGGTGCATCTGGGCGGGGGGATAGTTGATGCCGCCGCTCATGAACGGCCCGGCCAGGCCGAGGAAGGCGCTGAAGGCGGATGCCATGCCGTTTGTCAGCCACTCGGGCGCGGCGGCCATTTGGTTGATGAAGCGGCCGAAGACGGGCCCCACGCCGCCCCAGAAGCCGTTGCGAACCCTGAACTGCAGGGATGCCCACCAGGAGAGGGGTTTGCCCGACAGGAGGAAATTGGGCTCCGAGGCGTTCACGGCGGGGTTGTTGTGATAGGCCCTGAATTCCACCGTCATCTTGTCCTCGTAGGGGTAGTAGTAGATCATGACGCTGGTCCCCGAGGAGCGGATGTCATCCAGTTTGGACAAGAAGTCGTCCAGGGTGTAGGTGCGATGCCACAGCATGATGAGCTCCAGGGGCCGGACGCGGAAGGTGACTTCGTATACGATTCCCAGAAGGCCGTAGGAGGAGCGCACTGCGCGCAGCAGCTCCGGGTGGTTGTCCTCGTCTATTGTCATCTTGTCGCCTGCACGAATAGAAAAGGAAATCACCGCGATGCTGACTGCGATGTTGTTTGACATTTATTGGTGCCATCACAGCTACTTTCATGCCATCTCAATCGCCACGATGACGTCACTTTGTGTCAAAATGGCGTCGCAGTTGGCATCGCAGATATGGTATTTTGTGCTGGAGCTAGGGATGCATGGGCGCAGGACGCCCAGCGAACCCACACAGGCAAAGAAGCGGGGTTTCAAAGCAATTTGGCGCAATAGGTACAATTCAACTTCAGTCCGCTGAAATTCAATTTCATTCAATTATTCCCATATAGAATTGTCCAATTGAAGAGATTGGGGCAGTAGCAATGCCTAGGCCTACAGGCTGTACGCTACAGCATTAGAATGCACAACCTTGTAAACCTAACGCCGCCCTTTGGCGGCATTCCTGCAGCATGGGAGGCTCCCATCAGCATTGCCGGTGCTGCATCAGCACCTGAACAGCTGTAAAATGCGGCGCGGAACAAGCTTGCGTAAAGCACGTGCATGTGATAAAACACCAAGAAATCACTGATTCACTGGGGCTGTAACGCAAAATCAACAATGATGCTTCTGGTATCAGTTATGATACCACAGGAAGTAATAACGAAATGCACTGTTCAGGCTCCCAATATCTGGAAAACGAGTACCCGAGCCCAATCTGCTGTGAGATTTACACACGCCTCAAGCGCCTCGCAAACGTCAGGCCGAATGATCCGCTTCCCATCAGCAACTGCAGAGACTTCCGCCTATTCTCCTGACCGCAATCTAGATTCACGCGGACAGCGTTTTGTTAAATTTCTTACATCAAATGCACTTGTCCCAATGCACGCCCAATGCTTGGGTCCATTCCAACAATTGCGATGCAGCGTGTTTTGTTCATTGCGAACACAATAATGTAATCATACATCGGAAGATCAGTAATCCTACATATATAACCATACAGCGGAACATCCGTTATGTGACAAAAGTAAAAGAGAGGACCAGATTTTCTGCATCACATTACGTCATCTACCGAGCGCGACTTGTGTAAGCGCTCACCGTCAGCCGTCACGATTTTCACGCCCACCACGTACGAGCTGATCTGCCCGTGCTCCCCCACGAAGGCCGCGTCCTTGGTGTGCGCCACGGCGGCCGCGCCTGAGGATATGCTGCCGAACTCGGTGTTCACGTAATGCATGAGGCCGTGCTTCTGCAAGTACTCCGACACATCTATGTACAGCGCCCCTGCCTCCACTGTGACAGTCAATTTGGACTCGTCGTGGCCAAGGATTGCGTTCATCTTCCTCATGTTCACCACAGTGCCTCCGTCCGCCATGATCACCTGAAGCAAACAGCGGTGTAAGTCGGCGTTGAGTTGAAAGCAGACCGAACGGGCATGAGATAGATTTTGTGTGGATTTCACACATAATTCCATTTTTTATTCTTCCGCCTCATTTCTGGGACGCCCTGGGACATAGACATTATGCGCAACTTTTGGGCAACCCAAAGAACGGCGGAATCTGCAAGAAGATTGAACAGAAAGGGAACCCAATGAGCCTGCTAGGGACAGTTATTTTCTGAACTTGTTTTTCTTGTCGAGGAGCGCATATCACAATATCGTCAGGATATGGCGATGGTCCTTTCACCCACGTCCATGCACAAAAGTTCTGCAAATATATTTACGCACGAGTAATACACTGGAGAGCGACCGGTGGACACTATAATGTGCACAGAGCTACCCCGCACTTTCAGGCTAATCAGTTCTCTCATCCTGCTTTCCTTCACGCCCCCAAATCACGTAAGGCATGGGGTATAATTCCCAGGTTTGCTTGACCAGCATTCAGGTAAGGAAGACGAACTGAAGACGGCACGTAGTTTCGAGGGGTGGCGATCCACCTCGAGCACACGACAGCGATTTACAGCGGAGCAAAGGGGCAACAGGCATTCTGTCCCTCGTGTCAGGTGCGTTCATCAGAGTCCTTAATGCAGGTCCTAATCCCTCGTCAGCTCTTCATGCGCCCAGAACTCGAGCTACAAGAGCGCAATTGCCAGGGAGCCCCACCATCGTTCTGAGCGCCGCATTCGAATGCCTGAACTCACGCTGCTCGGAGCGGAACCGGCTCACCTTCGTGTTGGAGTGCCGGGACCCCAGGGCCCGCACGGGCGCCGGGTACGACTCGCCGTCCCTCACCACCTCCACGATGTCGTCGGCGCTCCTGACCGTCACAAATTCCGCGCAATTCGTGGCGATGTCCCCTCCCCAGTTGCGCACCTCCACGCCCGCCGCGCCCCACACGGTCAGCAGCAGCGCCGCCGCCGCCGCCGCCGGGAGCCAGTGCCGGGCCTCCTCCATGGGCGCCCGATTGGCTGGTTCACCTGACGGGCACGGCGCAGACGGATCACGCACCTCGTGACGGCAAACGGAAATGTGCCCTCATGCCGGTGAATCATGACAGCATCGGGGACGATGCAATCCGGCGCGGTGTGCCAAGAGGGTCGGAAGGCGGCCCGAGGCCATGGGCCGATCGGGGCGTGTGCGCATTGACATCGGACCAAGCGGGGCCACACCCGGCGGTCATTTTGCCCAGAAAGGCGCGGGTCGGTCCCACGCATGGGGCGGTGGGTCGGATTCGATGCATGGGGTCCGAATCGATGGCGCCACCCTTGGTGGGCGTCCGTGCCCGCACCCATCGCCCTCAAAGTACAAAACTCCGGAGGGCAGCGATGCACTTCCCTGGACCTGCGACAGATTCCGAGTCGGACGTACCTGTGGCGGGGCCGACAGCTGTTCACCGACGCCTCCCGCGCTCCCCTTGAGTGGCGGGCTGCGCTAACTATTCGCCAGCCGCCCCGCGCCGTCGCCCGCTGGTCCGGGGCGGCAACGGTGTGGCGCGCAGCAGCGGCCCCTGCGGGGTGAGACCCGTCGAGGGGGCTGGACGGGTCGAGCCGATTGCGTGCGCGAGCTGCCAAGGATCATGAATGTCCCATGGGCGCACATGGAGAACGAGTGATCCCGATGTGTGAGTCTTCCATGAGTGTTGGCGCACGCGCGCCGGGGGCGTACCACTGGGCGCCCGCAGGATCCGAGCTGTGAAGATTCCAAAATTTGGACGACTGTGCCACAAAGTCACGTATTGAAATGCGACTCTGGGGCAAATCGGTGGGATCAGTACATGGGATTAATCAAACTGATGCGGTAACTATGTACCCGCGCCAGCGATGCGCATTACCTGGGGTGTTGGGTCGTGCCGGTGTGATTCGATTATGAAAAAGTGAGAATTCCAAAATTTGGCTGACTCGACGTTGAAAGGTTACGTATTCCAATACGACTCCTCTTGGGATTTACCCGTATCGGTCATGGCCTGACGCGTGTGGGGGTGGGGGTGGGGGTGGGGGTGGGGGGGATACTGTTCAACATGTTGAATCAACGGTACTTGTGCGAAAGCCGAGAGGAAGTTGGAACGCCCCAAATCCGAATGGGCAACGCGCTTTTTGGGCCGGACATCATTGAGCGCATGTGCCTGGCTCAGGGACGTATGTGCGCCTGTGCGTTTTGCTGAGATGAACAGCTGCAAAATGTAAATTGGACACCCAGGCAGGCTTGGTTCACGGTCGGTTGCTTGGCTGTTCCAATTTGCATGATGGACGCTGAATCGATTACTTCCTTGAGATTTTAGAAGTTGTGCGCTGGCCGGGTGGCTTTCATCACAGGGAGTTGAATTGCGCCCGCGAATGGATACCGTGGTTGCTAGCTTAGGACTTCACATCACAACCCCGTTTTCGCGCATTTCGGGGACGCCTGAGTGGGACGTGAACACTACATTAACACTAGGCTCAGACCGGCGCTAACAACTTGGAAACAGACCTTATGTCAATGCCACACCATAATCAGTGTTTGCGTGGGAATAAATGGGCTCAATATTTGACACATGGGATCCCATTTACTTCTTGTTTGCAACGCTTCAAATAGCTACAATGTCGTTAGATGGACCCGTCCACAAACTGTCCGCCACTTATGAATAAGACGATGGGTCGCTACATAAGCGTGTGGTCCACTGCAGAGGACAGCTTGGTCAAGCCAATATCGCGGCAGATCTAGATTGGAAAGAACATAAAAAATTGGTGGCGTAAGTATTTGGTAGCTTTTTGTCGTTTCCATGTTGCCTTGTTCGTATGCTGCAGAATTTCCGCCGTTCTTCGAAGCAACGCCAACGAAATCTACCATTTGAATCCAGAAGGTGAGAACCTGTTGCCTGGTGGAAGGGTATTCATGTACAGCTGGACATCAGTTTAAAATTTATGAGACCCGTGGGGACATGCATTAAAGCTTGACGAATCGAATTGACACGTTATGTTGAACAGTCACTTTTCCGTCCACACCTCTCGTAAATGCAGAACGGCATACCTTGGGATTTTGGCGATGTTGGGCTTGAAATGTTGGGCATGAAACTACCTCCAAAGAAAATATTTCTGGCCAAAATCAATTTTGACATCAAGATGATTGAGACGTGCGAATGCTCGCACAGGTGGGCCCGCAACTCCGAAATTGCTTCAATCTGAGGCACGCAGGGTGAGATCTGATGATGCTATTTAGAAGTGCGCCACAAAAATCCCTGAATCGTCAAATTAGAATTGCAAGAGCGAATGTCCAAGCGAGAATTTGTTTGCCTCTTGGGATTCAGAATCTGATTGCGAGCAACAATGGCTACTTAAAGGGAACGAACATTCGAACAATATCATGAATGGATTTGGCCTCATTTGCTATAGAAAATCTACAACGCCCAGTGGTTGGAAGCACACGTGCATTTCACGTGTGCAATCTTCCTTCGGCTTGGCTATTTTGAGCAATGCTTGGCGGACATTTCAAGTGAAAGGTTGCTTCTCGCCGTGCTTTGAACAGAAACCTTGGGATGCCGCCTCCGAGGGAAATGCAGTGAGTGTGAAGGAAGCTCTGGAACATGGTGACGACGTTGAAACGCAAATGGGAAAGTACAACAGGACAGCTATGCAGGAGGCCGCCTTCAAGGGCCACGTGGATGTTATGGAGATACTCACCGAGGCTGGAACCGACGTCAACGCTAGGAAAATGTCGGCAACAGCACATTAATGGGCGCTGTGTACAACGGCGAACTGGCCATGGTGCAGGCGATGCTCGAAGCTGGCGCCAGGACGTAAAATGTGGAGGATGACCCCGATCTTCTGTTCACAGTTATGGCAGAAGTTATGGCGGAAGGTGGTGACGTTCTCAATGAGCTGGTACGCTGACGAAGAATTGAAATGTCGTTCTCCAGAATGGGTCTATCAAAAGCAGCACAATTTTTGGGTGGTCATCTTCAAAATTGTGTATGAAATAACGCAGATCACTGCGCACAATGGCTATCATATTTGAGCTATATCTTTGCTGGCTGTCAGGAAGGTGGGCGAAGTAACCATATGAACTAAGCAAGGAGAATTAGAAGAACTGAAATAGCAGGCTTGCAGGAGCGCACAAAGGGTGAGGCTTGATCATGCTCGTGGGCGACGGGCAGCTGCTACTGGCACTGAAAATGATTGCATAATTCTGTTCACGGCCGCATGATCTTGCGGTTTAATATGTTTCCACCTTTGCATTATCCGTTGTGCACCTTTGCATGCTTCCTGCTGCCTAAATCCAGACAATGAGTCGCAGGCTAACCTTGCACAGAGTATCGAAGCGTCTGTTGGCGCCATAGAAACGCCGCTCTTCCCGGCCACCAGTGTGGGCGATGCCCCCATCGTGGCTGGGCTGTTGGAGGGGGGCGCCCCGACCACAGGGGTTCACGCGGTGACACCGCGCTGCATTCCATGGCAAGCACCGGGGGCCGCGACAGCGAGAACATTACCCGGGCGCTGCTGCTGGCGGGAGCGAATGCGGACGCGCGAGTGGCTACCGTGGGCGCACGCCTCTCCACCGTGCCGCGGAGTTGGGGCAATTGAGAGTGGTAAAAAATCTGTTGACGTCTGGCCAGACGTCAACGCCCCATGGGGCGGACCCTTCATTGGAGGGCGACGACGGCGAGACGGCGGAATCGCTCGCCTGCCTGTACTCGAAATCGGGGTCGTATAATTTCTGTTCGGGCGCTATTTGCAACAGCGATACGAAGGCAGACATCAAGAATCTTCTCGAAGAAGGTGAGACATAGGCATCCGCAATCGATTGTGCCCCTGATTGAATGGCAAAAATTGCCTTTGTGGGTTCGCATGTGCGCATGCACACTGGAACAGGATGGTGGACAGATGCCACGGCTGTGAGGCCAGAATCTGCAGAAGAGGGTCGTTGGGCTTGCTTCCGTCTAGACGGATGATCCGCTGGGCGATGATCAGCAACATGCACCAGTGCATGGCGTCCAATCGTTTCTATACTGGTTGTCTGCTAGGATCGATCACAATGAGCTTCTGCTTAGCCAGCAATGTGTGTCGCTGAGAAGTTCTCACAAAAGTGAACACGATCTTCTGGGAATTTGTTTTACAGCCAATGCGTGTGCTTGTGTCTATTGCAGAGGTGCTAGCAGCCGATGGTAACAAAGTAAGGCACAGAACAACATTCAAGCAAGACAGATCAAAGTGATTTCTCATCCTGAATAAGGTTGGTTGCTCCCAAGGCATCGAACGGGACAAGAAGAATCATGAAAGATCCACGTAACGTCGAAAATTCTCTTGTGCATTTTGTGGTGAAGTACAAGGCAATGAAAATGGCGTGAATCGTGCTCAACATTTCTGCGATGAAATCACTGTTCTTCCACCACGTTACAATGATTGTGCAGTGAATATTTTGGCTGCATAATTTGCCCTGCAATTTTTGAAATAGACCACAGTGTACCTCGTTTACACCACAGTTTCGAATCATTTGCACATGAGTTTGATACGGCATAATCACAAATGCATTTGTCGTATGGCCAGTTCATATCCAGAATGATAAGACTGGCATATAACACAACGTTATATTCCTCAACATGATTTGCACTCCCTGAATCACAGCTCTCTTGCTTCAAACTGGAAGAACGAAAATTCTGTTGACAGTGGAACTGCTGGGAATCACTGAATGTGGTGTGCCGCAAAGACACAGAGCAAAAACGCAGTGGCGAGCTTGGAACATGGAATATTGCAGATGCGAGTCCCCTCTGTGCCAGACAAATAGGACCAATGAAGGTTGCACTAAGATCGTGGGTTGGTATGTCGGAAAGAAACTCTGGCAAGCCCCCAAGGAAGGTCATGCAGCGGCGGTGAAGAAAGCACTAGACGCGGGCGCCGACACCGAATACAGATAGGGCGAGCTCAGAGAGACGCCCCTGGAGCCAGATGTTTGCAGTTTGCGCAGACTCTGGATAGGGCAAA